TTACATGTTGGTGTTTACATTATACTCCCTCCGTTTTTATTTCATAGTCGTTTAAGGTTTTGCACGGGACTTAAGAAAATCATTGATATTTTAGTTTTCAAAAATATTTATTACTTACTTTCCTATTTTACCCTTTATTTTTTTTTGTGCATTTTTTAGACTGTTGAACTACTCCATTAAATAGTTGTCCCTTTTTTTGTTTTTTTATAATATTTTGTTGAGAACATATTGCTCTTATAAATGCACATTAACTTTATATGAGTAGTTGGAGAAAAATTAGGTAGACATTTAAAATAAATACACACATTGTTCAGAAAATATGTATTAATTATCAAGGGTAAAAATGGAAGAAAAAAATTAATAACTCATTGATTTTAGTAATATGACAATGAAAAAAAAAAACAACAAACTCTGACAAAACGACTATGAAAAAAAAACGGAGGGAGTAGTTGTTTTACTTCTATACTTGTTATATGTTTATTCTTTTGAATATTAGTTTATCCTTTCACGTTTTCCTTGTGGTTGGACAATGATTATCATATTTATATGGGAGCGGGATAGGGATAGGCTAGAAGTAGACGTCTGATTGAGCGGCGTGCTAGATAATTGTGTAACTTGGTGCTATTGTTATAGATATTTTGTAGAGTTGTTTGACCAACAACCTAGACTTATATACATTTTAGTTTTTTGATTATTGTATATACGTATATGTGTACAAGATAGGTTATAATTCCATTACGGGGCAATTATTGTTTTGTTGGCTTTATCCTTATACATATATTTATATTATTAAATGTAATTTTTCAAGAACTATTTATATGTTAACCTTAGGTAGTTGTTTTATGTTTTTCACTACGAATAGTTGTATTATACTAAATGTGGTGACCTAATAAATTGTTACAATAATTTTGTGTGAAATTTTCTACAAAAAAATGATTGAACAAAACTACCTTTACACTATTGTCTAATTAACTAGTTAATAAATGGTAAAATTGTAACTATTTAAAGAATATATTTTTACATAAAAATTTAATTATATAAAATATAATTTTAAAATATCAATTTCATTATATTTCTCACTTAATTTCACTTTATCAAATAATTATAAATTTCACATTATTTTTTATTAAATCAATTCTCACCTATTTTCTTTAATTCTTTCCTTTATCCAAACAAATCATTAAAATTCTATTTTTTATATCTCCTATTTTTTATAGAAGCCTATCCAAAAATATCTCCTCCACTTTTTTTTTCTCGCATTTCTCGTCTCTTCTTACCCATTTTCCTTTCTAAAACACTTATTCTTCATACCCAATTGTTATAAATATAACGGAAAAAAAAAAAAAAAAAAAAAAAACCCTCTAGGTTAGCTTCAGAGCAAAATATTAAGGGTTTTATAAACTGGAGAGTGATCTAGTCTACCTCAACTTCAAATTTTTCTACGGTCAAAATTTAGACCATATGTTACATAGGCTTTCTTCTTTGCTTACTGTGCACGATATTGGTTGGAGAGTAATTTGACTTGAGGGGATCTCAGTTCATCTTAATTATTGTCTCGAGGAATCAATAAAGATATTTGTTAAAATAGGTTATTAAAAATTACAATTAAATCATTAATGATAGCACACTGATGATTTTTTTTTTATAATATTTTTATGTTTTTCTAACTCTTGAAAACGCTTTATTTTAGTCGACTATTTGGACATGGGAATTGATAACCAGCTCTTGCTGGTCTGTAAGCTAGCATTGACATTAATGAGGTGCTAATAAAAATTGAAGTATATTACACAAATTTAGAAATAAATCTTTATTTATTTTATTTATGTAATTGAAGTAAATATTTAAAGGAAGAGTTTTATTATTAATAATAATCTTATTAAAATTAAATAAAATTATTTTTAATTTATAGAAGATACATGTGATTTAGATAAACAAAAAATTGTGTATGCATTAGTACTTGATAACTTTTTTTACTATGTTATAAATATAACATATTTATTACTTTTTAATATTTAATTTCAATTTTTTAAATTAATAATTAATTTTTATTACGAAATTTAATTAATAACTTTTAATAATATCTATCATTTCATTTCAATCATATATTTTTATACATGAAATTCAAGTTCAAAATTTTATTAAAGATATTTGAATTTATTATACTTGAATTTAATGAATATGAAATAAATTTAATATTATTTATTTATAAGAATTTTGTTCATTAAAATTAAATTTAATATATATATTTTTACAATAATTCACATTTTTGAATCAAGTGAACTGCACTTTAACATGAGAATTTAATAATCTGTAATCCAGTAATAGGAAAAAAGAAATTAATTAGGTGAGTGAAGAGGTAATAAATTTTGATGGGATGGATGTGACAGTTTGGCATAAATATGTTATTGGGATGAATGAAGTTTTGCAGTTTGCACAAGTCTACACCCCACCGTCTCCCAAAGGTAACACAAGCATTTCTAAACAAGAACATGCATTACGACCATTACTTTCAATCAAAATTGTTTTTTTATTTATATTTATATATACTATTAAAATCTTCATTATTTTTAATGTGAAATATGTAAGATTAGATGTATTTTAAGAAAATAGATTAGAATTTAATTAAATTTTATAAAATAATGATTATTTTTATTTATATATATTATTATAATTTTCATTACTAAAAATAAAAAAAAAATTAATATATTTTTTTAGGCTCAAACACCAAACATCTCGTACTTATAATTTGGACATCTAAGAATAATTTGATAGTGGTTCAATAGTCAATGACATAGTAAGTTTAATAAACAATGTAGATTGTGCCAAATTAATTACTAACATGATTATATATTTGAGAGAAATAAAACTTTACTTCTCCGTATCAAAATAATTATTATAAAAAAAATGTCTCAAAATATTTATTATGATAATTTCTGAAAAGAAGAATAAAGAAACCTACATTTTTTTTTATCATTTTAGCTTTTTCATAACGTAACCTACCTTTTTTTTAATCTACTGTTATTGTTGCTTCTCTTTTATTGTAGTTTTAAAATATTAAATGAAAATTTGGAGTCTTTAAAGTAACAAAACAGATACACACATGCAAAAAGCTTATTCGATTGTGGACCCTAAATCTTAAACTTTAAAACAAAATGAAATTCCCCATTCTTGGGCAGGTCACATGTCATCTCTACTCTCTTAGGCCCAACCCATGACAAAGACCCTACCAAGGACTCAAGATTTAAGAAAGAGGGCTTCCGAATGGCCTGTTAGTTTCGCCTTTCTTTCTTCAAATCAACTTGTACAGTAAAAAGTATAGTTCGGTAATTTTTAGGATTTTCATATAAAATGTGTTTTTTCTAAAATTATGAACACTTGACATTCATAGTTGCAAGTGTTCTCATTCTTACAAGTTTAATTATCATTTTGAGAACTGTTTGGCAGCCATATAAATAATGATTTTGAGACCATAGTTGATGGAGAGGGAGGATGGCATTATTTTCAAAGGGCTAGAACCAAACTAAACTAAATTGATTTACAAATGCTTTTGGCTAGGTAGCCTTTTGCATCTGAAGCAATCCTACTTAACGAACGCAAGCTATACTACATTAGTCAACAAGAAAGCTTTGTATGACTATAGGAAAGCTACTATTCACAAGATGGCTAATGAGCACAAAGTGTGACCGAGCAAGTGCTCCCTTTACCTTAAATGACAAGTTTACTAATTGTTGCTGAATGGAGACTTAATGTTAGAAATTAAAAGATTCATCTCTATCTGTTCAAAGGTTCTAATTGGACTTCCATTCTTGCATAAGCCAGTGACTCTTTATATGCAGGTGCCATGGTTGAGCTCAATAGATCATCCTTATGCACCTAATTGCCTCACCCATCTATTCAGTCCTTGTTCACAGTATTCCCAATAGATAACACGAGAGAACCAAATCACCAGCAACCAATTGAGTCCATGGGCAATTTTCCACAGCATATACGTTTCCCAAATGCTTATTCTACAAAGTGTTCCATAACTACCTTTCCCGTTAAGTTATGATTAAAGAAAAGGTGAGACCAAGTTAAGGTGACAAAATAAAACGTCATTTTTTAGGTAAACAGTTATTTAATTTTAAAAATGATTTCATAAAACAATTAATATGAGACTTTAACCTTTTCAAATATCTAACAAATAGTTCAACAAATAAACCTCGTCTTATTTACAAAAACCATCCAAAAAAGTAACATCTTCCTTAAACAGCTACCAAACAAAAATTGGATAAAAATTCAATATTTATCCAGCAGCCCTAATTTTGCATCAAATTCACCAATCTTTGTCTGCATGAAAACCAAATTCGTGTTGCTCCATTTATGATTGACTACATCATCTTCATGTATTGCTCTTTGTTTCTCAAACGTAAGAGATCAACGACCTTGTATGCTTTCGAAATCTTAGTTTGCGTAGTCATGATATTTTTTTAATATTAATCGTTTAAAAGGGATTAAAATAAACAAAAAAGTTGCAGAAACCACTTTTTTAGGGGATTGAAAAGTATGGTGTCATCCCACTCTTGAGGGACATTAATGATCACAAGTCCTGAAAATATTTTTAAGTCAAGCCACTAATGATAAACAAATGTATGATGAGTAATAGGTCGTCAAACCGTTTGTCAAATTTAAAGTACAGGAAAGACGAAGTGAGATAGGTAATAGGTATACACAGACATGCCCAAGTGCGTCCAACCAACATTTCGACTTGCCATTGTATCTGACTTTTATTTTGTATGGTACCATTGGTCTTACTTTATTCGCTCGACATGTATTTATGAACAAAATCACATATCCAATATGTGCACGAGGTTGATACAAATAGGGTCACCAAAAGAAACAAAACCTTGAGTCAGGAGAAAACATAACGTACGTTAAAAGTTGAGTTGAGCAACCTGGGTTTGGATTCAATCATAACACCAATCGAAAAATATTATAAATGTTTCAAATTTACTACCAGTAACGAATTTTAACATTTACTATAATTTTTATAAAAATTTACCTTTATAGTTTTGGATTTCAAACGAAAAAAACCCTACACAGCAAAGTTCAGGGTCACAAACTACTAACATAAGCCAATCAAATTGCTTCTTACATATATCAGATAGATACAAGTTGCAAAATGTGAGCGCGCTTCACATCAGCTTCAGATGAAAATCAGCTATCTACTACCCATGTACAAGACGATCATGCAGTCTCCACCTACCAATTTCATTAAAACAGCATTACTACTCAAATGTTTGCAGAGAGATAATATAATGTAACTGAAATATTCGCACTACCATTTTTTCTCGGGCTGAAATGTCTCAAATTTGTCAAAGGTCATAATAATTTTCAAATTCATAATCATAATCAGAAAAGTCACTCCCACCCGAGAATCCATAATAGTCATAATCATAATAATCATCACCAGACAAGAAATCTATGTCTGAGATTCCAGATGGGTAGTCTCCATCAAATGATCCATAATCAATATCAGATTGAAATGGATAGTCATCAGTTGGATCATATGGAAGCCGTAAATCTTTGATCTGTTCAGCACATCTCTTCCCTAAACCTCCTACCAAATTAACATTGAAACACTGTCGCAAGTCGAGGGATTCAAGATGAGGACAGCCATCAAGAATAGCAAGCAAGCCGTCATTAGTCAGTTTGTTTCCAAAAAGCTGGAGATGGCATAACTTGGGCATGGTTTCTGCAATAGCATATGCCTCCTCATCACACACAATGTGTGGACGTCTGTAACCTTCCCTGTTGAATTTCAATGATTTTAATTGAGGGCAACACCGGCCAATAGCTTCTAGAGAATACTTGGTTAAGTTGCTGATTGATATATCAAGTTCCTCCAACTGAGGAAGCTTTTTTGCAACTTCACGCAATCCCTCATCTGAAATATCATAGCAATATGCAAGACGCAGGCATCGTAGATGACTTGTACTGGGAAATGGCAAGGGGAGAAGTATTACATATAGATGCTACCAAAAGATATGGCATTGCATTGACAAACAAACCATATAGAAAATTTCCGTCAATTGGTTTCATGAAAGTATGCTAAGAACAACACTCTTTTTATATTTTCTCTATAATTGCGTAAAACTGCACACTAAGACGGAATTTGATTGACCTAGTTGCAATATTAGCAAGCCGTGTTTGTCCAATTTTCACAGTAATTTCAATGTAAGCAAAGCAACGCGTGGTTCGATTAATTATAAAGAAAATATTGTTAATTTGGTGTGGCAAGACGACATGCAAGTAACGGTGTTCCAATTAGGGCTAAACGCGATTAAAGCATTGAAAAAGAGGAACTGACTTGTCAGTGGCATAGTGGAGGAGATCGTCGGTGCCGAAATTCTCGATGCTGAGACGGAGCAAGTGGCCGGAGCTGAAGTCAATCGCGCGGCGGCACAGAGCCCCTAACTGCAAGTCCATGTCGCCCGAATTGCGGAGGTCGATGGTGCGCCACAGGCGAGGGTCCTTCGAGATGCTGCGCCATGTGGAGCACACGCTCTCGGCGCGCGTGAGGATTTCGATTGCGTCCAGCTTCTGGAAAATTGCGCACACCACGTCTTGCGGAAGATCCAGCCAGTTTCGTTCTTCTTCGCCGCAACCCTCCACCGCCTTCAACGACAACGACGACGACGACGATTCCATCGGAGAATCGAGGTTTGGTTGGTGACGCTCTCCAATTTATTGATTTTCCTTTTCAGGTTTTCCCCTTTTCTTTCTTTAATGGGGGAATGCAATATGGGCCTCAGCCCACTTTCTTAATCATTGCAATATGGATTGGGCTAGCCCACTTGCAGGCTAACCATGAGTTGAGTGATTTGGGAAGGGACGCTTAATTAAGCAAAACAAACTTGAGGACTCTAAACCACTTTCCCTTCGTTCTACCATTTTTAGACTAGTTGTGTTTTGACCAACCAAATTGGACTACTTATATAAATTAAGAGTTAATCATCTATACACTGCTAGTGTAAAATTTTTTATACCGATAACTAATCAAAATTTTTAAATTATTTTATTTTATTTTTATTTTATTAAATAAACAACTGACATACACTATTAAAATATATGATTGATTGTCTGTGTAAAAAAAACTTTACACTGGCTGTATATATGTGATTAACTCATAAATTAATTATTAAAATGAAACTTTCTTGTCGGTCTATGCAAATTCACGTAACATCATCACAAATTACAAATGTCTTATTTCATTAACTAGCCAATACCTATTTTGGTAGCTCAATTTTGAGAGGTGATGTCAATTTTCATATCTCTCATACACTCCCTTCCAAAATTCACACATATATACATAAATTTACGAGGAGTGTATCAATGAATGCATTTATCATAATAGATGAAATAAATAAATAATAATCTATAAATTATAAATAAAAGTAATTAATAGTTAAAATTAAAATTTTATTATAAGTTTGTTATTATTATTATAATAATTTTTATGACTATTTTCATTATCTAATTTTACTATTATAATTATTATCGTGAAATAATGACGATAGTAATTATAGTGACAGTAACGATGATGATAAATCATCATCATTACTAATATTATTATTATTATTATTGTCAAGGATAGAATCACCAACATTATTATCATTATTATTATCAAGGATGGAATTAGGTATATCTACACATAGACAACCATCCCTCTCCCACAAGGCCCCAAAAAAATATTTCTAATAACTTGAGCATTCCAAATACTATTGTTACCCCCCCTAATATATTTAATATTTGGCTAAAAAAAAATTAAAATGCTCATCTGCATAATTATAAGGCCACTCGTTACCGGTAAGTTTATATTTTTAATCACAACTTCTACTATTTTAATTAAATCAAATACATTTTATCTTAACTAATATATTTTATTTTATGTTAAGGTGTTTGAAGAAAAAATAATATATATATATATATTATTTATCTTGTTTTCATCTTTTAAAGTAACTGCATCTGAGATATTTATATCTCGATGAGTTAACAGATGAAGATATTTATAAATTATTACTGACATATGTTTTATTAATTGTATTTTGTCCGCCATCAAAAGTAATTATATACTTACTTTCGCAAGACTAAATTTTATGAAGAAAAAAGTATTTTTAGTTCATATACTTATGGTCAAATGTAGTCAATGTCCATATACTTTTATATAATTTGTTCTTAAACTTAAAAAAAAAGCATATGGATTTACTTCATCTTTTCTAATATTTCATTAAATATACATGTTTTTTTAAAGTTTGAGCACCAAATTCATATATATAAAAGTATAAAAAATATTAACTATAGTTGATTGAAAGTACAAAGTTCAAGAGTTTTTTTTAGACAAATTTTTCCATAAACATACTTTTAAGAAGAAAAAATATGAAGGAAAAAATAAATATATTTTTTCATAAGCTAAAATTAGATTATATATACGTTAATTTGTAGAAATTTTTTCATATAACTTCTCCAAAAAAATTATAAATAAACTTATGCATAAACTTTATTTCATTTTTTCTTTCTATAATTACTTCCAAATAAATTTATCTAAATATAGATTCTAAAAGCACTTTTTCTTTCCGAATTCTAAATACTCATTAATATTGATAAAAATTCATCATATTATTTTTAAATTATGAAAAATTAAATTTACATTATTTTTAAAGTTTGAAGACAAAGTTTGTCAATTTTACATTTTCCAAAAGTATAAAGATTTAAAACTTTTTTTTAAATTTTAATTAAATAATTGTTAACAATATAAATTGGTCTTTCTTGATGTTGTTTATTATGTTATAAATTTTTTCCTTCCTTCAGGATTATTTTCTAATTATATCCCTAATTGTCGCTATCATATGAGTGGTAACAATAATTGTGATGGCATCCAGTGGCGGAACTTGGATTAAAAGTTTGGAGGTGCCAAATTATTATTTTATATATAAAATTATAAATTAATTTTTTATTAAATAAAAAAATAGAATTTTTCTTTTTTTTACTCAATTTTTTAATTTTATTATAATTAATAATATAATAATATATAAATATAATATTAATATATATATATAAAAAAAAATTTAGAAAAGTTTGGGGGAGCCGTGGCTCCCCCCTGTCCCTATGAAGATCCGCCCCTG